TGAAAGGGCTTTGGGCTGTGCTGGGGTCCAGGTGCTCACAGGTGGAGTCCTGCACAGAGGCAGGGACGATACCATGGCTCATGCTTCTAGATCCTAAAGAAACCAGACAGAACGGAAGAGAAAGCAGATGACAAGTGCAGTAGGAAGTGGAGCCTGCAGGGGTCTCCTGTTCACTAACCCCTTCATGTGATGGGCATGTGGGCTCCCAGTGCTTTTTTATGGCAAGTGTCTGGGGGTGAGGGTGTGGGAGGAGGGGATCAGAAGGACCGAGTACAATACAGAAGGACTTTCTCTTAGGGCTAGCTTAGGGCCACAGCTTAGTGGCTCTCTAAATTGGACACCTGTCCCTAGCCCTATCCTTGATGACTCCACTGTGAGAATGCTGCAGGCCTTATCCATGCCAGGCTACTCCATTCACTGTTTCCTCCATACCAAGCGTCCCCCCCTCCCCCCACACACACAGTAACTGCTTTCCACTTCCTTCAGGAAACCCACCTTGACTCTACTCAGAAGCATCATTGCCCTTGGCTTCTGACACTTGACTACAAACCTCTGGGATGGTCTTTTGCTGCTTTGACCAGACCAGGCACTGCCCAAGCTAGGCCTCTCTCTGCCTTCTTGGCCTCCATCCATGTGTAGCTGTGCAAGGGTTGGGCACCCAAGGGCTTGGTTAAGACTGTCTGGTTGGTTTGTTTCCTGGAACATCTGTATCCAGTCTGTTTGCTCCCTGCATGCCCCCTCCCCTTCCAGTTTCCTTCCTTCCCTCCTTCCCTTCCTTCCTTCCTTCCTTCCTTCCTTCCTTCCTTCCTTCCCTCCCTCCCTCCCTCCCTCCCTCCCTCCCTCCCTCCCTCCTCCTTCCTTCCTTCCTTCCTTCCTTCCTTCCTTCCTTCCTTCCTTCCTTCCTTCCTTTCTCTCTTTCTCTCTTTCTTCTTTTTTTTTGGGACAGAGTTTCACTCTTGTTGCCCAGGCTGGAGAGCAATGGTACGATCTCAGCTCACTGCAACCTCCACCTCCTGGGTTCAAGCAATTCTTCTGCCCCAACCTCCTGAGTAGCTGGGATTACAGGCATGTGCCACCACATCCAGCTAATTTGGTGTTTTTAGTAGAGACAAGGTTTCTCCATGTTTGTCAGGCTGGTCTCGAACTCCCTACCTCAGGTGATCCGCCCACCTCTGCCTCCCAAAGTGCTGGGATTACAGACGTGAGCCACCAGCTCCGCCCCCTTCCGGTTTCTTTATCAGGAAGCCTCAGGACAGAAATCCTGAGGGCATGGTGCTGGTTCGAGTATTCTTTCTTGGAGGCCTTGTCTCCAGGTCAGGACTCCCAGCAGGATGTCTATAGTCCCTGATCCCTGTCCAGCCCTACAGAGCAGACCCGCCTTGGAGCAGAGGAGCAGGGCAGGACTGTATCTACACTGAACAAAAAGATGAAAGTGGTGCCATGTATGTATGGACACCACTCCCCACCACCCCCAGACCTTCTCAGAGGGTCTTGAGCACGGAGTCAACTGTGTGGCCTCTGAGTCAGCGGCTGCCTATACAGCAGGCGTGTCCAATCTCTTGGCTTCCCTCGGCCACACTGGAGGGAGAAGAATTGTCTTGGGCCACACATAAAATACACTAACACTAATGATAGCTGATGAGTCAAAAAAAAAAAAAATCTCATAATGTTTTAAGAAAGTTTCCAAGTTTGCGTCGGGCCGCTTTCAAAGTTGTCCTGGGCTGCATGTGGCCCACAGCTGCAGGTTGAACAAGCCTGCTGTAAAGCCTGAGGACAGAAAGTTCCGGTCCCAGAGAGAAGGAAGTCTGCCTTCTGGAGACCCAGCCAGGGCTTTTCAGGGATGGAGGGTTCAAAGGAAGGAATCTTGTATAAAACATCCCTTTCATCCCGACAGGAAGTTTTAAGATGACGATATGACCTAAATTGGATTCCCAAGGCCAGGTGCCTTCCTCTCCTTTGGGCAATGCAGGTTTCATGCCATCATTTCATCATTCAGTGTTTACAGAGAACCTACTACAAATGAGATGCCAAGCTAGGTGCATTCATGTTCTCATTTAGTCTTAGCAATAACTCTTGAGGTGCATATCACTAAACGTGTTTTACACATGAAGAAGATTGAGGCGTACATAAGCAGTAACTGACAGAGAAGTAGTTAATCCTCCAGCTTTTGTTTTTCAGTCTCATGCTCTGTGGTTTACAACAGGGGTTCCCAGACTTTTGGAACTTACAGACCAAATAACATTTCATAAATGATTTTGGGAAGAAACACAGAACCAGTGCCAACTTTTTATTTAGTCAATGACATTGAAAAAACACCATCTTCTAGCACCAGGATTTCATAAAAGGGCATTTTAACACAGAAAATGTGGCGAGGACATAACCTTAGAATAAAGCCAGCCTTCTAAGAAAGGACAGTTGGCAACCTTACCCTAAAATAGCCTACATTGTTCTCTCTCTCCCTCTCTGTTTTTTTTTTTTTTTTCTTCATTTCATTTCAAGCAGAACTGGCCAAAACTTTGGCATTGCAGGGTGTGGGAGCCACTACCCTAACCCAGAGCTCCCTCTTCAAGCAAGAACAATGTCCTCTGCCCATAAGCAAATAAGCTTCCAGAATTTCCCATCCCCCTCTGCACATCCAGGTCCTACCCAAATACGGCCTGAGGTTGATTTACACAATCAGCTACATTCTCCATGTCTACTCCCAGCAGGTCTTCTAACTTGCCCTGATATCCAGTGACCCTTCCAGGGAAGGAAACCCATCCTCCCCAATCCCCTTCTCTCTTAGACTCAGATGTTTTCTAGGTTTCCATTCCAGGAATACTCAAGCCCACTGCAGCCCTGCAGCAGCCCATCTGTCTCCCAAGTCCCCTAGTCCCTACCCATGGTGAGAGTAGCAGGTCTTCTCCACATTTCAGTCCTGAGGCAGGGACTTCCCCTTGCTGGGGTCCCCAGGTCCTGGCTACTGTGCTATCAAAGGAACCAGAGCACACCCCAGGTGTTCTAGGAGCAATAGGGGGATTACAGAATGTGGGGTCCTATTTATTCTCTCTCCATTCTTCACCTTCTCTCTCCTTCTTCCTCCACCTGTGCCTGCCCCCCACCCACCTGCATGAGCAGAGCCTGCCCTGTGGAGCCCTTCATTGGAATTCCAGCTTCGCCATTTTCTTGCTATGCAGCATTTGGCAAGTCACTTTACCTCTCATGCTTTAGTTCTCTTGCCTGTAAATGCGAGTAAGAATGTTAGGTTGACCCATGTGAAATTACCAAAATTTGACAATATTGGGCTCACAAAAATCAAAATTTCATGTTGTTTAACAACAATAAAAAAGCGTAAACTGTAGTGTTGGATATACATCTCTCATCAAGTCTGGACCCCTCCTCCAGGAAACACTCCCTAGCTATTCCACAGCCAGCAATAGCTCCCTCTGAAATCTCACCTGGTTGGGGGCATGACTTAGTACACATTTCTTTCCTGTCTTGAGTTTTCCTGCTCCATTTTCATGCCCTATTCCTGAGAATGAGTCTCGCTTCCTCAAAACTTAAAGCCCACCAAGGGCAAGACCTGGGGCTCCTCCTCGTCTGTCCCCTGGAATGCTGGCACACCACCAGTGTCCTCCCATTAGGGCTTCCACATAAAGGAGACAGAAGCCAGACCTCATCAGAGTTTACCAAGAGCCTGATTTATCTGACAGTCATTGCTGCACCCAGAGCTGGTCCTAGATGGTTGTGAATGGGTGCCACTAATGAAACTGAGGGCGAGTGAGGTGCTGGTGGGGAGAACTTGAGAGACCTGACCCCTGCCCAGCCTGCTGCAACAGTAACCCAGGAGGCAGAATCTTGGTCTTATCCTCCATCTCCTCCAAGCTTCCCCTCCAATGCCATTATCTTCTAGGGTCTCTCACTCATCGGTAGAGTTGGCCCTTATTGATCTGCTTTCTGTCCACCCTTGTATTGGTGAAGAGGTCCCTGAGATAAGGCGGACCTGCTCGACCCTCAGGGTACTGACTGCACTGTGTAATCAGTGCTCAGGGTCACAGGAGCTAATGGGCCATGGGAACCAAAGGTTTTGGTGGTTAGGAAAGGGTTCCCAGAGGGGGAGATGTCTCTACCATAGGTCATGGGGAAGCCTGTATGGGCTGACTTCCTGAGCGGAGTTAGGGCAGACTAACTCCCAGCTAGACAAAGCCCAAAGAAGTGAGTTCAATGGAGGTCTTCTCTCCTGTGGCTGGTGGACCAGGGCGGGCTGGGCCCACAGCTCTTTAAGAACACTCCTTCTCAAGGAGACCCAAGGACACTCAGGGATTAGGCCTCCAGCATGTGTGCAGAGAACTGTCAGCTCAGAGCTGCTCAAAAGTAAAAATGCCAGCTACCAGTGATGTCATCACCCTAGTCATTCCTCCCCCTGTGGGAGGTCCTGTGGTCCAGTGGCTAGAGCAGAAGAACCCCTGTTAGGCTGCCCACCCCACATCCTGCCTTCCAAATTCCTACTCTGCATGGAGGAGGGGGAAGTGGTCACACTGGGCTAATAATGAGAGTAAAGAAATCACTTGGGAAAAAAACTTGATGTTCTTTCTTAGAGAGATGGCAGAGCCAGGGGACCTTTTTGCCTCCCTCCTGTGATACTTCGCTGTGGTTCAGCTCCAGCAGTAATCCCTCCAGCCTTTCCTGGACAACCCCCTTCCCTTAATGCCCAATCTATCCTTCTCCCCATTTCTGAACTACTCTGGGGTATCAGGCTGTCCTGGATGTTGGAGAGGGGTAGGGCTGTATCTTAGGCTGAACTCGTAAAATCTGTCCATGTGTACACTTGGGAGAGACGGGGAGAGGACATGCAGCTGGATCCTTGGCTAGGGTAGGGGGCTGGGCTGCAGACTCGAACGGAGTGGGGCCTGTGCAACTGCTTGGGGGTGGAGGTGTGGGTCTGGGTGGAGCAGAAACTCTCCCAGCGTGGGTCCACGTAGGGGGTGCCATAATTTGGATGGGAATACAGGGAGAAGGGGCTCCAAAGCCAACTACAGAGTGCCCGGGGTGTTCGAGGAGCCGGCCAACCAGCTCCCCGCTGTAGCCTGCTTGTCCCTCTCCGGGAACAGCCCCGGGAGAGGCGCGTGCGGAGATAGACGTCCGGATCTCGCATCCGTGACTGTTGCCGGCGCATTTCCTCGAAGTCTTACCTCGAAGGGCTGGGTCCCACCCGCGCGCCCTGTGCGTGTCTCCCTGTTTCCCCATGCCCTCTTTGCCTGGCTGCTGCGAGGCTTTGCAGGCGAAGGACAGGTGCGGCGTTCGCCCCCAGCCCTTGTCACTGGAAAACCCTGGGAACCTCCCCGACGCAGTGCATTTCCCGGAAACCCCCTCTCCAAGCAGGTTGCGAGAAGGCCCGGACTCTGAGTGCAGACGACCCGGAGCCTCCCAAGAGGAGGGTCGGGGTACCCAGCGGAGGAGCAAACCTACCAGGGAAAGGAGAACCCAGAGCTTGGTGATGGACAAATTGGGAAGCCATCCCGTCCCCTTCAATCTTGGGATGGGGAATTCACAACTGAAGCCCGAGCTCTAGACTTGGGGCGGGCTCCCAGCTTGGCCCAGGAGATTTAAGGGCGCAGGAGTGAGGACACCTCTCACCCCAGCCCCAAAGGTCTAGCGAGGGTCTAACCCCGGCCCCTAGCCAGGCCCGCCCCCCGCCCCCTCCCAGCCCCCGGCCCTTGCGTGGCTGCCCCTTTAAGAAGCCCAGGTAGGCAGGCCCGGCTGCGGGAGCCGCTCCTATGGCAACCCGCGAGCTGCGGCGGCTTCATGAATATTCCGGGGCGCGGGAGCCCGAGCGCTGCCGGAGGGCGCTCCGAGGGAGGCGACCGCTGATGTAAGCCCGGCGGGTCGCTGGGCTCCGCTCCGCTGCGGCGGTAGCCCCAGCACTGACCGGACGGGCCGGGGCGGAGGACGCGAGGCGAGCTCCCGGGTGGCCGGCCACAAAGCTCGGGCGGCGAGACAGACGGACGGCCAGCTCTCCCGCGGGACGCACACGCGGGAGCCGCGCGGGCTGTGCGCTCTGCGCTCCGGAGAGGTTCCCCGAGCGCCGCGGCCGCAGCGCCTCTCCAGCCGGCGCCCATTGTTCCCCGCGGGGGCGGGGCGCCTGGAGCCGGGCCGCGCGCCGCGCCCCTGAACGCGAGAGGGAGGGAGGGAGAAAGGGAAGGAGGGAACGCGGGGTCCCCGCGCCCAGCCCGGCCGGGGAGGAGGCGCAGCGCGGCGAGTCCGGGGACTCGGAGCGGGACTGGGAGCCTCCCCGCGGCGCGCAGCCTGCCGGAGAATGGGCGCCTGAGGCGGCCCCGCGCCGGCGGCGAAGGACGCGTCCCCACGGGCGGACTGACCGGCGGGCGGACCTGGATCCCGTCCGCGGCGCCGCGCCCCTGCCCCCGGCCCGGCCCAGGTCCCGGCCCCTGGCGCCATGGACAAGCTGCCGCCGTCCATGCGCAAGCGACTCTACAGCCTCCCGCAGCAGGTGGGGGCCAAGGCGTGGATCATGGACGAAGAAGAGGACGCCGAGGAGGAGGGGGCCGGGGGCCGCCAAGACCCCAGCCGCAGGAGCATCCGGCTGCGGCCGCTGCCCTCGCCCTCACCCTCGGCGGCCGCGGGGGGCACGGAGTCCCGGAGCTCGGCCCTCGGGTCAGCGGACAGCGAAGGGCCGGCCCGCGGCACGGGCAAGTCCAGCACGAACGGCGACTGCAGGCGCTTCCGCGGGAGCCTGGCCTCGCTGGGCAGCCGGGGCGGCGGCGGCGGCGGCGGCACGGGGAGCGGCAGCAGTCACGGACACCTGCATGACTCCGCGGAGGAGCGGCGGCTCATCGCCGAGGGCGACGCGTCCCCCGGCGAGGACAGGACGCCCCCAGGCCTGGCGGCCGAGCCGGAGCGCCCTGGCGCCTCGGTGCAGTCCGCAGCCTCGCCGCCGCCGCCCCAGCAGCCACCGCAGCCGGCCTCCGCCTCCTGCGAGCAGACCTCCGCGGACACCACTATCAAAGTGGAGGGAGGCGCGGCCGCCGGCGACCAAATCCTCCCGGAGGCCGAGGTGCGCCTGGGTCAGGCCGGCTTCATGCAGCGCCAGTTCGGGGCCATGCTCCAACCCGGGGTCAACAAATTCTCCCTAAGGATGTTCGGCAGCCAGAAAGCTGTGGAGCGAGAGCAGGAGAGGGTCAAGTCGGCGGGATTTTGGATTATCCACCCCTACAGTGACTTCAGGTAAGGGGCCGCGGCGATAATCCTGTGGGTGCCCTGCGCGGTCGCAGGCATGCCTCCTGCTGACCCTGCCTCCCAGCCGGAGTTAACTTTCCTTCCTTACGCTGGGAGCTCCAAGAGAAGTAGGGCGCCTCTAGGTTCCGAGACACCCCCAGGCCACCCCCCCCACCCGCTCCACCCCCCCACCTCGCTGGGAACTTTGCTCTGTGTTCAGGCACTGGTCTTCCCGGGTCTGGGCTGCATTAGAGACCGACTGAAAAGGTGTTCTGAGCCTGGCCTAGCCCTGCCAGCAGCCAGAATAGGGCTCTGCCACCCTAAGCCACACATTCCTCCTCCCCCTTCAAGGCTGCCGAGTCAGGATGGCCATCCTAGAGGCAGCTCCCAGTCATTCAGCCTGCAGAGCAGGGCCATGAGGAGAGACAGACCTCTTAGCAACTGGCCAGCATCTTGGGTACTGACAGCAGGCATTAATATCTGCCTTCTGGTGCCCTGGGAAGCTGTGGCCGAGTCCCTGGAAGACAGAGGTCACTAGGGCCTCAGGCCAGGATGGAAACCCCCTGCACCCACTGTAACCCTGAGCTCAGCCCCTCATGCTGAGTGGTGGGCCAGGAGCAGGCACCCTGGGCAGCTGGTATCAGGAACAGCAGGGCAGAATGACCTTGCTCATAGTGATGGGTGAAGATGCCTGGTGTTCTGACTGATGAGCAGCTGTCCTGTGCCCCGTGCTTGTTCAGTGGCCTCTACGTACCCAGAGATCCAAGCTCCAGCATCTGCTTGGTCTTTCATGGGCCACTGGTCGGTCCCCAAACAAGGTATGACTGCCAGTCAGGGAGAGGGACCCTGCCCACTTCCACATCACCTGAGTCAGATGCCACTGAACGGCAGACACCACTGGGAGCTCGTGGGCATATTTGTGTAAAAAGAGGGATTGTTGGTTGTCTCTAGGGTTGGAATCTGGGATGCTTTTACCTAAGTCAAGGTCCTGAGGTCCCCTAGTGCCCCTCTGGGCTTACCTGATACATAAGACTGAGATGAAGGTCTAGGAAACAGTTTTCAAGCTGGATTTAATTCTCTCATTCTCTCTTTCTCTGGGCCCTGCCTCCTACTCATCTCCGTTCCTTGCCTACCTTGCTTGCCTGCCTATAAAAATGAGCATTTTGCCAACCCAGAGCCCTCTTTGCAAACTCCAGGGAAGCTGGGTTTGTAATGAGAGCAAAGCCATTTTCCATCCAATGAGAGAGATTTCTCGTGCTGGGAATGACCAGTCAGACAACACTCGGTGGCTTAAAATAGGTAGCGAACAGAGCCCCTCCCCGCTTTTTCCTTTGAGAAACTGCTTCTCCAAACCCCAATACCTCCAGGGTTCCCATTCCCAGAGGATTAGGGAGACCATAGGGCAGGCTAAACAGACAGACATAGTCATCAAATTGTGTGAGCAAATGTGGGACCCTCCCATGGGGAATGGTGACTGGGTTCCCAGTGCCAGGTTCCCAAAGAGTGGACTTGCCTCTGGGTGGTACTGGGCCCTGAGGATGCCAGGCTGAGCTAGGGAGGAGTGAGCAGGAGCTATGTTTCTTTCACCTCCCTGGGTGTCCTGGGCTTTTCCTTCTGTCTCTGAACTTTTCAGTGGTGGTGACAGGCAGTTCCAGTACCAACCACTTGGGTGTTGAAGGGCCCTCGCCTCCCTTGCCCAGGTCCCTGCTGTCTTTGTTGTCAGAAAGCATCTGTTCAGGGTTCTCATCACCAAGCCCATTGCCTGGGGAGCCTACAAGAGGCCAACCCCTGGCATGCCCAGCCTCCCTCAACAGCAGGCATTGACTGAGGACCTTCTGGATGCTGGGCCTGGCCCTTTCTGTCTCCCTTACCTTAGATGGTGAAGAGTTAGGATTGGGTCAATTTCGTCAAATAGGATCCTTTCCCCCTTCCTGGTCTTACTCCTACCCATTCTGGTATATCTGTCTGCAGTCACCCTGCTGCAGAATCTCCCACTAACTGCAGGCTGCCTGGGACATGGCTGCAGGAGAGGGTGGTGGGGATAGGGAAGTGGGGATGTAGCAGGATTTTTAAGTGGGCCGCATGAAAAGGGTCGGAGTGGGCTTTGAATTGGGGTTTGTGCAACAAGCAACAGGGACTGGTGGCTGAAAGTGCGTTTCTTCTTTGCACGGCCTTGTAGCTGTCTGGAGCTAGGTCGGGTGTAAAGAAAGAAATCCAACAAAGACCATCTCAGTGTGTCTAGAGGAGCTGTGGCCATGCCTTTCCTGCTTTTAGGCCAGAACAGCTAGTCTCATCCTCAGAAGGTCAAAGAGACAAGAGCCTAGCTAAGTCTTCTAAGCTTAGAAAACCCACCACTCAACCCCACCTAACCCATCCCACCCCTACCAGCACCTTTAGCCCTGGTCTCTAGAGTTTCAGCCACTGGCCTGGGCCTCCATGTGTAGCCAATTGCCATTGCCCATCTCAGGCTTCACAAGAGCTTCTACAAGCATTGCTCAGGCTAGTCGAGGATTTATTCATCATTTTGACGGGCAGGAAGCATTGATCCAGCAGAACTGGTTTAATAAAGAATCGCCAGCAAACCATGATAGATTGAGTTTGTGGTTTGGAGTTCAGGGCTGACTGTGACGGGCTGCTTCCAGCATCTCCCATTCCTGGGGGAGGAAGGCTGTCTACCTTTCCAGGGCAAGGGTGGGCTGTGCTTTGAGGGACCAGCATAACCTGGGCCATGGCTAATAACAAGCTTTTCTGGGCTGCCTCTGCTTCTCATCACTCTACCTGACCCCGATCCCACCCTCCAACAGAAAAGAAACCATGCCCCGGGTATCTCTATGGCTCCCCCAGGCTCTCTGGCCTTTCTAGCTTCCCCACCCCTCCAACTCCCCATTTGCCTTTTGAAACTTGTATTTGTGGTGTGTTAAGGGAAGAGGCCAGGATGCTGCAGACCCTGAGGACACAGCTCCCCGGGTTCCTGCCCAGGGCTGGCTGGGCTCTTGGGTTCTAGATGGAGCCTTCGTTCCAGAGAAGCTGTGTCCTGGAGAACCTGGAACAAACAAAACATCGTACCTGGATAATCTTGTTTTTCTAAGAGGAGAGAAAGGAAATGGAACCCCAAGCGCAGATGTAGCTGGTTGTGTTCCTGGAAGCTGGTCAGGCTCGGGGAGTCAGCCTGGGTGTGTGTATCTAGGTGTCTGTCTGAGCGGGCATCTGGGGGCTGTGTGGGTGGATGTGGAAGCTGGTGGGGAACTCCCTTTGTGGAATGTGAGTTCTGGGATTGCTGCTGTGCCCCCAAAGCTGGCTCAGCCTTGAGAAGGGAGGCAGGCAGAAGCTTGGCCTTTCTCATCCCCTATCCCTACCCTCTCCTAGACTGAGCCTCCTGAAGCCTTGAGGAAGGGATGGCGGGGGTGCTTAAAGTATCCTTTCCTTGGGGCAGAAACAGCTGGGCTCTGAAATCTTGGAAACTGGGCCAGTGGCCTAGCAGGTCCCAGGGGTAGCCTGAGCTGACTTCCTGCTGCTGGTCACTGGCACCCCGTCACTGCCATTATTCACCTCCCATCACCTCCCCAACCTTGACTGCTATGGAGCCCTGCGTGCATTACGAGCCTTTTTTGAGCCCCAGTTTTCCCATTTAGACAATGGGAATCTTGTCGCCTGTTGCCATGTCAAACACAAATGGTACAACGGTGGTCGCCCTGCAGAGGTGAGAAGCTGCAGTGAGCTGTCACAGGGGTAGTGATGCTGTTGTGAACCACACCTCCCCTGCTCTCACTACTTCCTCTCCTAGGTTTTGGGAAGATCACATGGGCCTCTGTCCTTGGCCCGAGCAGGGGTTCTGAACCTGCTTGGGGTCCGAGATTTCACTTCATCCAGAAAGATACCCAGGTGTCCAGACACATACAGTGTGGCACTTAATTTCTGGTGTCTGTGGACCATCTAAGTTGAGAACCATCGGGGGGATCAAGGTTGTGAACCCCTCTCTAAGCCGTCCCAGAAGAGAGCCTGGGCCTGGTGAGAGGCAGGCACCCACCTTCTCTGGAGCCTGGCAGTGGGGTCCCCTGCAGTCTAGAGCTTGGGCCTCCCATTGCCAGCAGGATGGAAATGAAAACAGGGCTCTGAGTTAGATGCCCGAGGAAGGAAAGGAGTTCTGCTTGGGGACTGTTTTTTTTTCTATTTCTTCAGTCCTTCACCCTCCCACCTCTGTCCCTTTAATTCCTGGGAAGGACTGTTCTGGCAGGAGGTAGTGAGGAGGAAGAGGTGGCAGCCTGTCTCTGGGTCTGGGGATTCCAAGGCCCCTTCTTTGCTGGGCTTTCCTGGGGCCATTGCCCAGGAATGCTGTTAAAACTCTCAGTGTGCAAAGCCAGGCGGAAAGGAGCCGCAGGCTGTGCTGGAGGGGGAAGGGTGCCTAGTTGCAGAGGGGAATTCCAAGGTGAGCTGCCTGGGCTGTGCTATCAGCTGGCACCATGGGCAGCAGGGCTCTCTGGGGATGAGATGTGTCCCACCTGACAAGGCAGGGGCCCCTGGAGCCCAGGACCAAGGTGGTCCTAGGATGCTGGGTGCACAGAAACCTGATAGGGGCAGAGGGCCAGGACCCCTATATTGCCTGGCTAGAGGCGCCTCAGCACCAGGTTCTCCCTGCTGCAAGGCTCAAGTCCCTGGTCTGGTGGCTATATGATGAGGCTGGGGATTGCCTTCTCCCCATCTTGGCCCTGCCACACTGGTCCCCTTAGCTGCTGTGGGCCTCGAGGCTTCTGGGCTGCCAGGTAGCCTGCCTCACATAGGGAGCTTCCAACTGTGTTGATCTGTCTCCCTGTCCATCCACCCTCTCCCTGTCCATCCACCCTCCTCTCCCATGCTTTAGGGCCCAGTGTCCCTAGGGCCTTGTGGGACACCCTCTCAGGCCGCACTGACTGCCATCCATCTCTCCCCTAGCTGACCACCCTGTGGTATTTGGACAGAGCTCTCTGTTACAGTGCAGTTTCTCCTGCTGTAATGTCATCCGACTCACCTGG